TGCCGTCCCAGCAACAATTATTCCAGCATCCCTCCACCTCCCCATCTCCCCCTCTATTTCTGTTATTCTCCTATACTATGTACTGTAGTACCACAATGGGGGGTTAAACTCAGAGCCTCGGGTTCGAGCCTCTGTTGAGGACAGCAAGCCAAGTTTTTTTTTACCATTAACAATCATGACTGGATGGGCAGGCAAACTCGTGAAATGCTGTCTAGCTAGGCAGTCCCCTAGGAATTGATTCACAGTCTTTCTCCTTCTTCCTCTCTTCTTGCCTCATTTCTTATGAAACCAGCAATTGTTGCCTCTCCCTGTCTTTCAGCTCCAACCAATCTAAAATACTAATCAGCTGATATTTTTTTTCTTTTTCATTAAATGGAGGCCGTGAAGAAAACCTGTCAGACCTTGTCCTTCACACTCCTTTCACAGTACTTACACCATCGATTACAATAATATAGGCTAATATTTAATGTAAAAAAAATAAAGAACAAGTAATATCACACAAATAGAGTAGAGTTTTGGGCCTCTCTGCAGGGGCTTCTTGAAGACATTTGTTCGAGGTTTTCAATTATTTGCAGGTCTGGTGAACTTTGGAGAATTGTGAAATATTGCCATCTGCTGAGTGTTTTAACAATGACATTTCTCATCCAATCCAACACAGTCTTCTGTGCAACTCTCAAACCCCATTCACACCAACAGTGAATAAATGCTGAAGTTACAGACGACCATGGGCGAATTATTCACTGACTAAGGGAATGATTTCCTTTGTTTTACGGTTGTACAATGAGCTGGTTTTTAAGTCTTTAATATTACTATTACTTAATCTTAATTGTTCAGTGATTTACCGATGAATTGTGGGCTATTGAATAGCAGAAAATGTCATTCTAATAGATGTTCTGCTAATTATAATAAAGAACAGGAATAAAACGAAAAGCTAAAATAAAATAATTATATATTTTTTTGTAGAACGGTATCTTTAGACATTATAATTATATAATTATATAAGACATTATATAAGACATTATAATTATATATAATATTATAATTATGTATAATATATAATATGTAAAATATATAATTAATTATATAAGACATTATGATATTTGAAATGAGTTAGTTAGGCTACTTAAAAAATGTAGAGTACTGTTTTTAACTATACTTGGCATGGGTACAATTAGAACAAAAGTATTCCTTGTCTTTATTAACTAACTGTAAAATATGACATACTTAGGTATTATTGACCATAATTTGTTTAGTAGACAAATTAAAGAAACATCACACGAATAAATTGCATGTTTTTACGTTAGCTTTTGTGTGTTAATGTAAAAAAACAAAAAAGTGTTCCAACTGTACACGGTTTACTATCACCAACTGTGCTTAGACAAAGTGTTTTTGCTTAATATGAAAACAAAACTGAAAGAAATGCTGTTTTCTCTAAAAAAACAACAACTTTGTGGTGTGGATCAACTAACATTTTTATGGAGCTTATCTAGATAGTCCCTTTCATTCCAGTAATGTCTGTTTCACTGAATCCTCACAGCACATACAGAACATCACATAAAGTGTAGAAAGTTTTAAGACCTGTAGGTGGAGACAAACAACCATTTGTTTCAGAATCAAAACGAGATATTACTAAGCATGCTTGCACACAAAATAAGTTTGTCTAGGTGTCAGACGTTTCCAGTACACAGAAAAAAATAATAAGTTAAAATAAAATATTATTCCTGTCCAAGTGGACTGTTGTTGGCCATTATCCTGTAGGCTTTATCCAAAATATGGACAAGATTGTATGATGTCAGTCAACAACAACAAAAAGTCTGGTTACAATGGACCACTTCTGTATTCACCGGTGTGTGTGTGCGTGTGTGTGTGTGTGTGTGTGTGTGTGCATGTTTATGTGGTTTATGAGGACACAAATTTGTATAATAACATGGGTATGACATAGGTATTACAACGAGAAGGTGATTTATGAGGACATTTTCAGTGTCCCCGTAATTCAAAAGGCTTATAAATAATTCAGAATGAGTTTTTTTGAAAATCTAAAAATGCAGAAAGTTTCCTGTGAGGGGTAGGTTTAGGGGTAGGGTTGGTGTAGGGCAATAGAAAATACGATTTGTACTGTATAAAAGCCATTACGCCTATGGAGAGTCCCCATAAACCATAAAAACAAGCCTCTGTGTGTGTGTGTTTGAAAGTGGAAATTATATGTAAAATGATGTTTTGACAAAGGGATGTTTATCTGATACTTGTTAAAAGATTCAGTCCCACAGTCCAATGAAGTGAATAGATGGTTGTGTCTCTTTATTGTGAGCCGTATTAAAATGACAGCAGCAAATCCATCCTGAGCTGGATTAATGTCACACTTTGACATTGTACAGAGTCTCACCTTCAAAATCCCCATGGGCTTTATTTCATATAATACACACATTTTTAGTTGTTCCTCTGAAAGCCTTTCAAAGTAGTGACCTGTACTCTCTTAAAAATTAAGGTTCTTTATTGGCATCTTTGGTTCCATGAAGAATCTTTAACATACATGGAACTTTTCCATTCCATAAAAGTTTCTTCAGAACGGAAGAAGGTTCTTAAGATTATTCAAATGTTCAAGATTTTTTTTTTTTAATGATTCACTCAAGGGTTCTTTCTGGACCTTTATAAGCTTATACGTTATGAAGTTATGTAGTTATGCTGTCAACACGGTCAGTTGGTAAAGGATGGAAACTGAGTAGGAGAGAGAAACGTCAGTCATAGACAAACGACCATTTTCACCAAATATAACTTTCCCATCACGTCCCCACACATCTCAGGTGTTTTTTTTCTTTGTAAGCTCTGAACTTCCTCTAGTGAGGCAAAGGATCCACCCACAAGACTGACCAGTCACCAACCTCACTCGCCCCAGATATATTACCTAATCTTTGAAATGTGCCTCTGTGTCTTTTTCGGTTCCTCTCAATTAAACACATCTGAACAGCAAGGTTCCTCTTTTGATTTTCTTCTTCATTGATTTATTATCTCACCCAAGGCCTTAAAAGTTGGGAAAATCTATTGTGGCTTTGGAAAGTGTTGGTATTTCATCATTTCTCACTTTGTGGTTTATTAGTTTATTATTTTGTCTGCAGGTGTCATGAAACACTTTATCTGGCTGATGACAAATAGCAAGAGTCATTCGTACAGAGCATGTGTGGCATTAAACTTTCACAGGTAGACCACAGACCGGAGCTTACGGTATGTACAGGACATGACATATACAACACACACACACACACACACACACACACACTTCATTTTCTGATACTGAATTGTATATTTATGTTACTTTAAACGTTTTGGTTGGTTTGCTTGATTACTCATGATTACATGACATAAATGAATGAATTCTGAAGAGGAGAAGCTGAAAGGGGGTCAGGAGAGATTCTTTGTTACTAATCATTTTCCATTATTTTTCATAATTAGGCTTTCTGCATGATTCTGGGTCACATAAGGGAAACCACAACTGGGTCATATCTTCAGATGTGAAATCACACACAGGTTACATGCGTGTTTTTTGCACATATTTTTAATAAAACGGTCATAAGTGTCAAAAGTGCAAATATAGATAGCTTTGTCTAATAGTAACCATATTAGAGTGGATGTCACAAAACCTGTCAAGAATGTAACTAGCTCATTTTACACCTCAAAATAACAAGAAACGGGACAAATCTTTGTATTTTTTAAAACTATTAACATTTTTAAGTATGTCTTTCTCTCTCAATGTAATGCAAAAAAATCCCATTACAATATTTCTCGATAATTAGAAAAAAAATCATCATTGTAAAAATATGTGTAACAAAATATTTCCATTAAATACTGTTCTTTTGAACTTATCAGAGAATGCTCAAAAAATGATGTCATCCTGATAAAAATTATTAAGCCACACTTACCACAGTTTACCACTGATAAAAATAATACATGTTTCGTGAGCAGCATATTAGAATGATTTCTGAAGGATCATGTAACACTGGAGACTGGAGTAAATATGCTCAAAATTCAGCTTTGCATCACAGGAATAAATTACATTTTAATACATATTCAAACAGAAACTAGTTGTCATAAATTGTAATAATATTTCACAGTAATACTGTTCTTACTGTATGTTTGGTCAAATAAATGCAGCCTTGGTGAACATAGGAGGCTTCTTTCAAGAACATCAAAAAATCTTACTGACCCCCAACGGTAGTGTGGATATCATTTCTCTTTATCTCTTCATTATTTATTTATTGTTATTTCAGTTTTAAGGTGAAATATATCTTGGACATGTTTTTATGTTTCATCCAGTCACATTTTCTACAATGTCTTATTAATTTATCTAAGTTATCTGTTTATTCTGTTGCTACCACATGTCAGAACATGTTGAATCAGAATAACTAAACATAAAAAAATAAACATGGCACATAGAGCTTAGTACTGGTCTAATGCAGTGTGGTAAATGTGGTGGCTACCTTCCTTATGTTCTGAACATGTCAGAACAAGCTCACTTTGGCCACTAAATAAGTTACGGCAAGAAAAAAACGAAACCTACACCTGTACACAACAGCACAGTATGTGCCTTAGTTCAGGTCTCATGTAGTGCGTCACATGTGGTCTACAGAATGTGATGGTTTTGTAGCGTAAAAACTCCCAGCAGTCTATTAAAGGGACTGTGACACCTGCTTCCCTCCGGTTGACAGCGAGTAGGAGGGCTGATACTGCCCAGATGAGAGGTGTTTCATATTGCACTTCACCCATGCTTTAGGGGAAAGTACACTACAAGCACTCCACTTGGACATCTGCTGAGAAACTTTAAACAGGAACACAAGACATCATACAGGAAGCTTGACACATTCTGAGGTTTGTCTACGGGCCAACCAGAAGACGAGAAGTGGAGGCCACGCTCATTCTACATTATTAGTCGTGAACTCGACAGTGTTTTCGTCTCAGTTTGCTCACTCGTCTGTCACACTTGCCCTGCACTGAGGCTGTCGGGCATCATGTCTCTATCTGCCGACTACTGGAGTGATAAAACGGGTGACAGGGGTGGAGGAGGGGGAGTTGCTTTGGCCCATCAGAGGAGACTGATCCGGGGATTGCTTGTTTGGGCCACCCTGCTCACTCTAGGCTTGGCCACATCAATAACTCTCCACTTCATCCACAGAGAATCGCCAGCTACTAGTAAACAGCAGGTATGGTTGGGATCTGTAATCTACACTCTTAAAAATAAAGCTTCTTTACTGGCATTGATAATTCCTTGAGGAAACTTTACCATCCATGGAACGTTTCCATTGGTTCTTTATAACGAAAATAAAAGGTTGTTTAGAATGTTAATATTCTTCACACTAAGAAAAAATGGTTCACTGAAAGGTTCTTTGAGGAACCGCTGTGAAAACCAACTTTTGGAATCTTTATTGAACCATTAGTGTAGATTGCAGCTGTGTTTACTTCATGTACAGTATGCGTATGTTTAAACCTTCCATTAAAATGAAGAGACATTCAGGCAAGTTTGTTCAAACTGGTATTGTATTGTATGAACTGGTTACATTGTTTCGGGTTCTGTTGTGTATTGTGTATCTGTATACTGGTGGGACACTCAGACCACAGCGGCTGCTGACTCAAGACCGCAGATGAGGGGAACGCAGATATGTGTAATCACAACGTGCTTATATTTACAGACAGGGCAGACTGAAATATAGAAGCTCAAATAAACGTATCATTAAAAATATCATTTATTTACAGATGCTATTTGCACCCCACTGAAAATTGTGACATACTATTTGAATTTTAGTAACTACACTCTTAAAAACAAACATTCTAAAAAGGAAGTTTAGCAGGGTTAGGGTTCCTCAAAGAACCTTTCAGTAAACAGTTCCTAAAAACACAATTTTTTCTTAAGTGTAAAGAACATTTAAATAACCTAAAGAAGCTGTTTCCACTATAAAGAACTTTGTGGGGAATGTAAAGTTTCCATAGATGTTGAAGGTTCTTCATGGAACAAACGGATGCCAATAATAAAACATGTTACTTTTAAAAAATATATAATAGTATATATAATATCATATCATAAAATATACTGTAATTACTTCAATTGGGCCACCAATGATGTTTTGGTCATTTTTAATGGATGCACTCTTAAAAACAAAAGTTCTTCATGGTGGTACAAAAACCCTTTGACAGCCATAGAACCTTTCCAGTTTCTTTATAGTGGAAAAGGATCTCCAGATTTTTTAAATGGTCTTCACACTAAGAGAGAGAAAAAACAAGAGTTATTTTAGGAACTGTTGACTAAGAGGTTCTTCTATGGCATCCCTTGGAAGTTTTATTTTTGAGAGTGTGTATGAAGTTCTAGTGGATGTGCAGGTATCCTGACTGAGGACTGACATTTCAAAACTTAGTTAGTCATTTTTACCATTTATTTAAAAAGCATTATGATATTTCTATATAAAAAAGATCTGTTCTCTTACAATAAGTAACCATGCAATGACCACGCAATACAGTGAGTCATTTGTATGTAGTAAGAAAACAGCTCATTTAGTGCCAATGTGGAAACTCAGTATCAATATTGTAGATATCACTATCAATCATCACCTCTCTTTCCAGCACAGTGGAGCGATCTGACTTTTTAGAAGATGCTTTTTTTTATCTGAACAGTGTAGAGTAATTAGCCATGATATCATGCCAGTTGGAAGGTTGAATTTTATGGTTACCACATGAACGTGTCAAAACACGTGCATGCGCAATTCAGAAAATAAGAAATGAAACTCTCTATTGATACAAATCAGCATCTGACGCAATTCCACTTTGCCATCATTTCTGAGTCACAGTTTTGTCACAGATATGGCATGAAACTACTCTAGTATTCTAGTTGTGCTCAGTCAAAAAACATAAAGAAATTATATTTTTGGGTAACTTTCTGAAGATTAGGATGTGATAGTGTTAGAAAGGTTAACTGGTGGTTTCATTCAAAAGTAACACCTATAAGATATGAGAGCTTGATTCTGATGTTTGAAAACGAAATTGGTTTAGGTCTGAAACTATACTTTCTCTTGAAATGTTTTTTTTCCACACACACACACACACATGCGCGAAACAAGTAGATGTAGACATATTGGAGTGGTGAAGGCAAACCAGCAACCACAGAACAGCAAAAGAAGACTTAATGACATAATTCCACTGAGGGGAAATGCCACTCCACAACCCCTCCTCTTCCCTGATAATGTTTTTCATTCTGCTTGTCTGACATCAGAAGCGCTGCATATTGCAGTTTGTTGCATGTTTGGAAAAAAAAGAACTAAAGGGGAAAGATAAATTGGACTGGAATGAGCTGAACAACATACTTGGCAGTGCCCGAGTGACTACCAGAGGGAGGGGGGGGGGGGGGGGTGGGGGGGGGGGGTTAATAACTTTGTCTAGTGCTCTTATGAAAGTTTATAGCATGATTTGTGAAAATGTAGCTATACTGAATGACATGGCAATGATGGCATAGACTTCTTCATGCTAGTTTTTGCATTATTCATTCTGTAATCTACTTGTTCTACAGATCTGTGTGTACTAGTGGTAAATGCTATTGTTTTTGACAGCGTTGATAACGTTTATGACAGACAAAATCATGATCATTTTTGCGTTTCCCTTACCGAATGTCGTATCCTGTCAGCAAAAACCTGTCCATGGGCTTTTTTGATTGCTTTCAGTTTAAGTGCCGGTGCAGTGTTGCCAGACATTGATACTAAAACAAACTCAAAATAAACCAAAATTATTTCCGATCTTTTGCAAATAAGATAAGATAAAGATATCGCTGACTCTAAACTGCAACTTCATACTTTATTATCTTTCTAAAGTGTTAAATTAAGTGGAAAAGACAAGTCCAAAAACGCCCTCACAACTGTCTCAAGCCTCGTTCACTCCGTCAGCGTCTCGCAGCGATAATTTTCATACCACGGACGCTAAACATTCTTGCAAACTGTCTAAACTGAACTATACATGTCATGCAGGCATTCATAAGAGGAGTTTAACAGCAAATTAGTCATTCAAAGAACACATTTTATTTTTGAACATGAAAAATTTACAGAGGTCCGGACCTCGGTGGCCTCATAGCTGGTTACGGGCCTGCCTAGAAACAACTTAGCAAACTGTCTTGCAATTAAGACACCTTAGTAACGTCTATCTACAGTACAGTATCTATTTATCTATGAAATCTTAAATTCTGTATAAATGCTTAATGCTCAAGGTTTTTTACAAACTTCTTGAAATTTCAGGCAACACATTCAAAGTCCTTTCTTAGTTTTGCTTACTATATTTTAACTACATTTGTACTAGGCTATATTTTACTGTAGACAATGTGAGAAAGATTAAAAGCCTTGATATTACCTCATTCTTTTTGCTCCAGCAGGATCAAGAAAAATTCGACCAACCTCAGCACAAAGAAATTCCTCTAATGGAATTTTCACCAGACTGTAAGTCCGAATTTTTTACCTTTTAGACTTTTAAGAGTTCATCTTATGTGTATTCCGTTTAGCCACAGGAACTATTTGGATACTTAATTCCAAGTAGTTTAAAATATATCAATATCTTGTCATTATACAGCAAAATATAAGAAATATACCCCAGTCTTCAGTGTCACATGATCCTTCAGAAATCATTCTAATATGCTGATTTGCTGCTCTAGAAACATTTCTTATTATTATCAATGTTGAAAACAGTTGTGCTGCTTTATATTTTGTAGAAACTGTGACGCATCTTTTTTCAGGATTCTTTGATGAATAGAACATTCAAAAGAACAGCATTTATTTACTTTTTTTAGCCTGACTTTTCTGTCTACTTGTTCACAGGGAAAGACTCAGACATGGTGGAGAAACTCCAGTGGAAAACAGTGCGTGAGGTTTTTATCAAAGGACAGGAACAGCTGTTGGTGAACGAGTTTGGCCAATATTTCCTCTATCTGCAGGTTACCCTCGCCTCTCATGAGAAAGCAAACCATACAATCACTTTGGAATCAAAACAAAGACGTGTGATTTTAAAAGGTCTTATCAATGGATCGAAACTCTCAACTGTCTTCATGGCTAAAGGCATTTCCCTCGCTAGCGGAGATACTCTAACTGTGACCTGCCAGCCGAGAGCCAAAATCCAGATCTCTCACACTGAAACCTACCTGGGTGTGATCAAGATTAATTCAACCTGAATCTAGATCAAAGACTGAAATGGATTTGTGACAGTATTGAATGTGGACTCCCTCTGCATTGATCTGCTGGGTTTTGATGTGCACACTGAAGGCAGTGTACGACATGTTCGCTTTTTTTATTTGTTTCTTTAAGTGACATCTCCAAAACTCTCTGCCTTTATTGCACTAGCCTATATTTAAGCTTCTCCCCACTCAATGGATGAAGTGTCACTGAATCTCCATGTGTGGCCGAATTCTGATTGTTACCAATGTAAAATTGGCACCCTATTGATGCACTTTATATACATGTATGTATATATATTTGTGTGAAACTGACCCTTTGCTGAAGCCCTGAACTGCTCCAAATGTTCCTTCAACTCACTCACTTTGCTTTTGTGAATACCTTAGTCCACACTACAACACCTGAGTCAACAGAAAATTAAATTAGATTAAGTTAGTAACATTCATTTAGCAGGTCTCCTTACGGATGCTAAACATGTTTATAATTATAATCAACACACCATTTCTGCAGCATGAACATGTCAAGGTTTCTTTAAAGAGAAAGGGCAACAAACACTGCTTGTTTTCTCTTTTGGTATCTTGTGTCACTATTTTAAGCTCCTCAACAGCAATATATCTGGATAATTTCTGCAATTTCTTGAAACTAGCCAAACACACAAAACGACCACAGAAATAGAAAATAGCAAGAGCTGTTCTCAAATGGCAGATCAGCGACAGCTGCTAGTTGCAGCAAAGGTGGGGACTTAGCAAAGGGCCAAGTGCACACAAAGGAAAGTATCAGAATACCTCCCTTCAACAAAGCAAAAAACTAAGGCTGAATTCAGAATGGCAGACTTGCATACTACAAGTATTACAGGTGATGATTCAACCAAAAATGAAAATGCTGTCATCATTTACTCACCCTCAAGTTGTTCCAAACCTGAATGAGTTTGTATCTTCTGTTGAATATAAAAGATATTTTGAAGAATGCGGGTTGCTTGTCCCCATTGACTACCACAGTGTTTTATTCCATACTATGGAAGTCAATGGGGACCAAAAATTGTTTGGTTACCCACATTCCTTAAAAATATCTTCTTTTGTGTTCAGAAGAAATAAACTCATACAGGTTTCGAACAACCTCGATGACAGAATTTCCATATCTGGATGAACTAATATGGCAGAGAGTAGTATGCTACTATACACTCTTAAAAATAAAGGTGCTTCACGATGCCATAGAAGAACCATTTTTGTCTAAATGGTTCCATAAAGAACCTTTAACATCTGAAGAACCAAGGTTCTTTGTGGCGAAAGAAGGTTCTTCAGATTATAGAAAGGTAAGAAAGAGATGGTTCTTTAAAGAAGCTTTGACTGAATGGTTCTTTGTGGAGCCAAAAATGGTTCTTCTGTGGCAGTGAAGAACCTTTGAAGCACCTTTATTTGTCTGTATGCTATTTCCAAGTTTTCGCCAACAAGGATGTCATTGGTCAGGTGGTATATTAAGAGTGGCAAGCCACTGAAAGTGTATATACAATGTTTATGTGTGTGTGTTTTATTGTTTGTTTGTTTTTTTTATTTCTTATTTTTGTCATATTTATCTGTATTTATGGCTGTTGATTATACAGCGTACTTAAAAGTCTATGAAAGTCATTTGATTCAATTAGAGAACAAATATCAAACCAAGTGGCATTTCTTTAAACAAAAGACCTGTTCAAACAAAACATTTCACAGAAAAGAACTTTCCTAATTCTAAAACAATAGTATACTCTTTTAGGACAGGCATATAATTTATAATGAAGACTATATGAGAATGAAGGAAAAAAGTGCTACTTTATGACAGTCAAATGTAACTGGATCATGTTAATGTAATGAACAACACTTGTAGATACTCTGAAGCTGACTTCATACACTCACTAAAACTATCTTGACACCAGCTGGTTAAAAGTCAATTCACAAATTGCTCAGAAAAGTGAAAGTAATTCTGAGAAAATCTCTAGCTTCTTTGTATGCAGATGCCACTGGTTTGAAAGGTTAATTAATGTAGAGGGTTAATATTTCAACTGAAATTATTACATCATATGATGCCTATGAGGTCATTAGTTGGACATTTGTGGACAATCGTGAATAATAATAGAATAAATAAATAAATCCTCATTTGCCAAAATAAATAAAAATATGCTACCGACCTCTAAATGTCTGACTTGGACAAGTGTTATTTTATTTTTATCATCAGTTCTCTTTTCAGATTTCCTTTTTTAAGTTTTAGTAATATTATTGTGCTTTTTATATTAATTTTAAGTCATTTTACATATTTTATATATATTTGGTCAAATATGTCTATGTCTATATATATATATATATATATATATATATATATATATATATATATATATATATATATATATTAAGATATATATCTTCTCCACAGACCTCTGGAAACTAATGACATTGTCCTGACTTATGACATTGTAAAGACCCAAGTCACGTTTTGGACTCACTAAATATGGCTGAATTGATGTGTTGTTATATTATTGTCCTAAGATCTCCTTTCAAATAAAGTTACTCATTTTTTGCAGGTCTGACTGTATATTATAGGTATAATCTGACAAAAAAAAGCTTATACAGTGTAAGGCAATTGTTGGACTAAACAACTACATACTTTCTGCCAATGTCTTATTTATTTTATTTATTTATTTTATTTCAGGTTTATTTGACAGGGACAATGCACATGAACAATACATAAATGCACAATGTGCCAGAAGGCTATTTTGCATCTGCAGTCCTTGGACTGATGGTAAAATTGTAAAGAATTAATCAATACATAATACTTACATACTCTAAAATACATATACCATCCACACTATTCCTAAAAACAAAACATCCGCCTTAAAATTATACTATACACAAAACCAACAAATCAATACCAGCTCACTCATACACACAATCCAACTGTCAAACAAAATAACAAATAATATATCAATAATATCACAATATCAATATACAAACAAAGATAATGTAAGCATACAGACAAGTAACAGTAGCCCTAATCATTCAATCAGACCTAAACCAAACAACCTCATATACATAACAAAAAAATCTCAAACTAGCAGAGCAAAAAGGACAAGACAGCAGCAGAGTTTAATTTACAAAATGAATGTTGACAATGCTGACTCTCAATTATCCATTTCTTTAAGTGAAACTTAAAGGAAGCATAAGTATTGAAATTTAAGTTTAAGTTTAAGTAAGTTGGGATGGAGTTCCACTCACGAGCAGCCCTAACTGAAAACCCTGTTTGACTAAATGCACTTTTTCTTAAAGGGACTATGCCATTCTCCACTCTTTTATGCAAAGCAAAAACTTATGCATTTGTTTGCTTTGTTTTAATTGTAATGACTCATTTATACTGGTGGTAGACTGGCTGATATGCTTACAAGAACGAGACAGACAATGATAAGACTTTCCGTCGAGGTGGGAGTGAGGGGGCAGAAACACAATTTCACAGCAGTGACTCATTTCCATGAATCCATCAGCAAACATCTTTAGTTAGCTGTGGGTTTCAGCATTGACATTTGTTCAATTATCATCTCAAGTTTGTATCTCATTTAATTGTAACCTGGCACTAAACTGAACCATACTATGGTTCTGGCATGCATCTCCTAGATCTCGAAACCATAGTGTCATCATTATGTGCTACTGTGACATCATGTTTTGATGACTCAATAGCGGGACCCTCTTTCTGAAAAGAAAGTGAAAGGGTGCGTAAGCCATAACGTCATCTCATCTGCTGCTTTCGAGGAGCCCCTTTATGAGTTAATCAGGACACACACTCGTTACTTCACATTACCTCCACAGTTTAAAAGGCCTGAATATGAACTCCACTATAAATGTCTCATCAAAACCTCTTTAGTCATGGTTAAGGATGTTTAGTGTTTAATTTCTGATGATTTACTCTGACTCTAAAATAAAAAAGAGCGGAGAACGAATAATATTAACAGCAATTATTATATGATGCAATCAAACTTATAGCAAAATGTGGTAGTTCTGTATGTTGTTTCAGGGTTGGCATCATCTGAGGTCCTCTGAGGGGTTGGCATCATCTCTTCTCAGGTGTTCTGGATCCAGACTGAAGCTTGTGTAAATCCTAGTTACCACGGGATGTCAATCCCGTGGCAAAAAACAGAGAAACAAATACAAACATAGTTAGTGTAGCTGCTGTTCCAACCAAGCTAAACTGATTTGTTTAACCCAAACTAAAGAATAATAATGTGCATTTGATCAGATATAACTGCAGTAAAAGATTATGAGATGCATTATTTGAATGCTTGATCAAAGAGATGTCTTTAATCTAGATTTAAACACAGAGAGTGTGTCTGAACCCCGAACGGTATCAGGAAGGCTATTCCAGAGTTTGGGAGCCAAATGCGAAAAAGCTCTACCGCCTTTAGTGGACTTTGCTATCCTAGATACTACCAAAAGTCCAGAGTTTTGCGACCTTAGGGACCGTGATGGATTGTAGCGTGGCAGAAGACTAGTTAGGTATGCAGGAGCTAACCCATTAAGGGCCTTATAGGCAAGTAATAATATTTTGTAACTGATACGGAACTTAATAGGTAGCCAGTGCAGAGACTGTAAAATTGGGGTAATATGATCATATTTTCTTGACCTGGTAAGGACTCTAGCCGCTGCATTTTGGACTACCTGTAGCTTGTTTATTGAAGATGCAGGACAACCACCTAGAAGTGCATTACAATAGTCCAGTCTAGAGGTCATGAATGCATGAACTAGCTTTTCTGCATCAGAAACAGGTATCATGTTTCGTAACTTGGCAATGTTTCTAAGATGGAAGAATGCCATTTTTGTAACATGGGAAATATGATTTTCAAAAGACAAGTTGCTATCTAATATAACACCCAGATTTTTGACTGTAGAGGAAGTAACCGTACATCCATCTAGTTGCAAATTGTAATCCACGAGATTCGTTGTACTGTCTTTTGGTCCAATAAGTAATATCTCTGTCTTATCCG